ACTTAACAATGAAAATATTTGTTTAAAATTAGTACTATATAATAATACTACTATAGTTTGTATAATTTTGTATAACAGAAATAAAATGGTAATCTTATGATATGTTGATAGTAAAATGTAAGAGAGTGCTGCGACTTCAAATCGGTTGCATGTCACGTTGACGTGTGTCAAATTACGATCGCAAATAGAAGCGGAAATGAAAATAAAGGAGGATCGTGAGTGGCGAAGAAGAAAAGGAAAGAGAAAAGGAAGTAACATTTCGTCCTTTGAAGTGCTCCATTTCGAACGGTCTCGTTTGTTCACCAATTCGTCGTGCATCGCGCGCGACGACGTGCAAGTGGAAAATTGTTGAGATGTCGAGGTTCGAGAAAAGGTTAGTGCTGGATGATGATGATGATGGTGATGATGATGCTTTTCTATTTTCCGATGGAGGAAACCTCGTCGGTTGCCCCTCGCTGCGATTATAAAATTAGAATTAGTAGTCTAGTGTAGAGTGTGTGTGTGTTAAGTCTTCATATATTGAATGGCGGTACGCGGCGGCTCCGCCTCGATATTTAATAACCTACGATCTCGATGACACGTCCTGACCAGAAACGCACCGTAATAATAGTACAAGAATTCTGAAAAGAAGTATGGCTTGTTTTGTTTTCGTTACGAAAGACAAATATTTAGAGAAGATTCGTCGGTCGTTAGCCCGAAAATCCTGCAAAACGAATACTTAATTGTAAAAATAGTTTATAAAATTAATAAATTTCATACGTCATTAACGTCAATTTGACACCTGTCAAGTCAGAATTGTAGAAGTTTCATAACTGTGATCAGTGCATAACAAGAAATACGTTTCAGCATGTCAGAACTGCAGAAGTTTCATAACTGTGACCATTGCATAACAACAAATACGTTTCAGCATGTCAGAATTGTAGAAGTTTCATAAATGATATGACAGATGTAAATAAATTCAGAAACATTGATGTCATCATTTTGCAGTCTACTTCACTTAATCAAGTCAATAATGACAATTTGACAGGTATCTCAACAAGTAAATCTTCCCTAAGACAATTGCGTAACTATAGATGTCAGGAATACAGAAAATTCGTCAATATGACAATTGCAACAAATACCTTTCNAACCTTCTTCATTTCAGCATATAAAAGATGATATAAAATCTTAATGATTTGACATAATATCAAGATCAACCTTAAGCTTAACAAATGACAAATTTGACAAGTAGCATATTTTCAAAGTCATCACTATGAGAATTACGTAACCGCAACTACTCGGAAATAATTTGACAGGTGTCATAATTGTAGAAGTTTCATAACTATGTTCATTGAATCACAACAAATACGTTTCAGTATGTCAGAATTGTAGAAATTTCATAACATATCATCAATGATTTGACAGATGTAAATAAATTCAGAAACATTGATATCATCATTTTGCACTCTACTTCACTTAATCAAGTCAATAATGACAATTTGACAGGTATCTCAATTTTAAAATCTTCCCTAAGAGAATTGCGTAACTATAGATGTCAGGAATAGAGAAAATTCGTCACTTAGACAATTGCAACTAATACCTTTTAGCATGTCATCCATGATTCAACAGATCTAAAGAAATTCAGAATAATTCTTATCACCATTTTGCAATTTGACATATGTCATAATATCAAGATCAACCTTATGCCAAACAAAAATGACAAATTTGACAAGTAGCATATTTTCAAAGTCATCACTATGACAATTACGTAACCACATCTACTGGGAAATGATTTGACAGGTGTCAAAAACAAGAAGGTGAACCGCAGGTATCATTGAAACGAAACCGCGGAAAAGCGGTAATTAACCGCACGATATTTCCCGTAAATGATGTGATGGATTATGTGCTGGGTATTCCTCGGCGCAACAAATCGTCATTACCATTTTACACGCGTTCCGCTAATGCCCAGGGATTATAAATTAAACGCGCCGCGACATCAATTAGCCGTTAGTTCTCATCAAGGGCGGATTTTCAACAATTAGCCTCCATTCAAAACTATATCCCATATCCATTTCAACTTCTATCTCTGCTTTGTTTTTTTCGCAATAAATACAAATTATTTTTTTCCCTCACATTGCTTCTGCTCTCAGGACCTTTCATTGCTTACACGCAAAAATATTTAGATGGGTTTTAATTTTAGACTTTAGGCTTATAGTAATTTTTTCCTCCTCCTCCTCTTCCATCTCCTCATCTTCCTCCTCGTACCCATTCCAAGCTTGAGTTATTATTGCATTGAAATATTCATAACTTTGAAAGGTTTGGCCCCGATTTACGTCTCTTTCTCTCGCATCATATCTCGTTTATATATATTTTTTTTGCATGTGTATTATTTATATTTCCATTGCTTCTTTTCTCTTTACTTTACCCGATCCATCTGACTGATGGATTTTATTTTCGATGCCTTAAGTAACGACAAAATTGCGCAAAAATCTATTTAAGCGAAGTATACATGTGTGCAGAGAAGAGAAGAGAAAAAAACAACATGTAGTGTGGGTACGTGTGTATAGATGCGAAGCTAAGTGTCTTTGACGTGAGCGAGCCAAAAAAGAATGTTTCCCTTTGAAACGTGAGAGATTAATAACGAAACATGAAACAAGCTAAAGCAACAAAAACGGGAATGAAGTGAGAGAGAGAAAAAAGAAATATGGAATGAACCTCGATTGAACATTGTCATCTCGTTAAAAGCAAATCGTTCCACGAAATCGTCTTAGCTTATTATTATAATAATTTGACATTTGTCACATCTTGGCACTTTGACATACATTATTAAATATAAAATAAACTTAGAGAAATTGCGTTTCAAACTAAATTTTGATAGAAAATTGTTGACATTGACTAAGTTTCACTTTTAACACTAAAATAAAGTTTACTTCAACGATTTTCTATCAAAATCAAACTGGATCAAATTTTATGAAGTGAAGTGTATTGAATTTGGGTTACGTGAATATTTTAGGGTTGGAATATATAGATAGATATATATATATATATGATCGTAGGAGGCATTTCGCGCTAGAGGAAATAAAAGTCGATCGGTCGATAGTTCAATTAACATTCCGTAACCTAAAATAAATATTAATTAACGTCATACTAGAAATATTCTACTTTATTATTTAGGTAATAAAATGCGTATTTTTAGAGACACGGGGCCACCAGATAGAAACGCGCTTCGAGAATCGGTCTTAAACTAAGAGCAATTTTCGCATACACTATATACCCATACACACAATTAATACAGGATAAACAAAAACACATCGTTCGAGAAGCAATCGAGAAAATGGAAAACCTTTTAAAATCTTCAAAATTCATTATACCATTACATTATATAAATTTTTACACTAAATCATGAGCATTTCAATTAACGTATGTCAATAGATTCAGAATCTATCATGAAACAATTGTTAAAAAGTTGTCCTTCAACAATCAACAAACTTCTATAGCTTCAAGTGTAAATTGCTTAATTATTACTATAGATATTGAATGATGATTTGACATGTGTCAATAGCTACAGAAACAAATGCTTAACAAGTTTCAAAAGTTCATCCTAATGATGAGGTGACCTTTGTTAACAGTTGTACTTAAACGTATATATACTTACTAATTGATGCGAGAAGGAAATGTTATTTGGGTTTAAACAGAAGTTTCATAACTGTGATCATTGCATAACAACAAATACAGCATGTCAAAATTGTAAAAGTTTCATAACATATCATCAATGATTGAACAGATGTAACTAAATTCATAAACATTGATGTCATCATTTTGCACTCTACTTCACTTAATCAAGTCAACAATAACAATTTGACAGGTATTTCAACTTGTAAATCTTCCCTCATGAAACAATTGTTAAAAAGATGTCCTTCAACAATCAACAAACTTCTATAAGTTTCAAGTCTAAATTGCTTATATAAATAATAGATATTGAATGATGATTTGACACGTGTCAATAGCTTCAGATCATATCCTGAAACAAATGCTCAACAAGTGTCAAAAGTTCATCCTAATGATGATGTGACGTTTGTTAACAGTTGTACTTAAATGTATATATACTCACTAATTGATGCGAGAAGGAAATGTTATTTGGGTTTAAACAGAAGTTTCATAACTGTGATCATTGCATAACAACAAATACGTTTCAGCATGTCAAAATTGTAAAAGTTTCATATCATCAATGATTGAACAGATGTAACTAAATTCATAAACATTGATGTCATCATTTTGCACTCTACTGCACTTAATCAAGTCAACAATAACAATTTGACAGGTATTTCAACTTGTAAATCTTCCCTCATGAAACAATTGTTAAAAATATGTCCTTCAACAATCAACAAACATCTATAACTTTCAAGTCTAAATTGCTTAATTATTTATATAGATATTGAATGATGATTTGACACGTGTCAATAGCTTCAGATCATATCCTGAAACAAATGCTCAACAAGTGTCAAAAGATCATCCTAATGATGATGTGACGTTTGTTAACAGTTGTACTTAAATGTATATATACTTACTAATTGATGGAATTGAAGGAAATGTGATTTGGGTTTCAACAGAAGTAAACTCAATATCGTGTTAACGCATTTTATTCGATAGTTACGAAATTAAAGTTCTTTTCCAAAATAAATTCCTCTGTATTTACAAATACAACCAACGAATACAAAATATATGTTTTTGTTTTTTTTTTCACCTTTTCAACGAAAAGTGATTCTATGTACACAATTACGGAAATAATAGAACAACAAGACTAAAGACAAAACAAAAATTGAAAATGTAAATTTAAAACAAAACAAATGTAAAAAAAAGGAAGACTAGGTTAAATAAGGCTAGTTAGTTCTTAATATTTTGGCTTCTCAAAGTGGTTACGTTTAGTGCAGGTAAGCTTTTCTTTTTGGTGAATAACTGTGTTACGATTACATTACGCTCTTTAGCAATCAACTTGTTTATATTATACTATTCTCTCAATATTTTTTTTGTAATTGTTGGATTTGTAACGTTTTGCTACGCTAATCTATTGGAACCTCAATCAATGATTTCGGAGGCGGCTTCTAAACAATTAGACGGCTTGACGTCAATCAACTTTGACAGATTAAGATGGATAACTGGGAGCGTGAGAGAGGAGACAGGACAAGTTTACTTTATAATAACGGGAAGAAGGAAAAGGATTGGGATTGATGGGTGAGTTTTCTTTTCGTTTTGCTTCCGTCAGAATATCTCTGATTCTGTTATTATTACCTTTGTTTTTCGAAAAACGCCACACCACCACCCAAAGTCGCGCCTCAACCTATAAAAGAGAACAAGAAAAACAGAGAGACGTTAGGAATTCCCGGCTCTGAAGCTTGGTAGAGGATGCGGCTATCTCCGAATGAAATGAGCGATGAACGATTTCAGTTTGCGTGCATATCATTCCCCGGGTTTCTTACACTCAGAGTCCAACGAAGTGGCCAGATCCTCCGGGTTGGTGACGGGTAGAGAACAGGCAAAGTTCCTGCAGACGTAGGCAGCAGGTTTTCCTTGGATCGGATGAAGCTTGGCCAGGGATTCGTGCCTGGCGTAGAGGAGTCCGCCGCGTCCTTGTGGGCCGTCGGCCATCGCCAGGATGCGGCCTGGTATGAACCGGGTTCTTACCACGTCCAGAAGGGCTTGCGTTTCGTTGGCGTCCGTCTCTCCGGCGATGAAGACCTAAGTTGCGGATGGACGAAGCAGAGAAAAAGAAAAAGTCCGACAATGATACAAGTGTTTTAATGGGGATCGAGTGTGTTTATACTTGGGTAGGTGTCGAATGGTAGAGCATTAAGGCCGAGGTCATCTCGGGCAGAGCGAGCGGAATTTTCAGCAGCCGCTCGGAAAAGGAGGACAACGTCTTCTCGGCCTTCTGCCGCAGATCCTGCCTGTCCATGTAGGCGGCCAGCCTAATTAGGTTGTGCACGGAGACGGAATTCCCGCAGGGCTCGGCGCCGTCTTGATCTGAAACACGGAGAGCAAAAGCATGCCGTTCAGGTTAGCTCATCTTCCCGAAATACACCGACGAAGAAATTGCCAAGAATTCCCAAGAGCCCAAAACACCTCGGATTCTAATAAATATGTAACCATTGTACCATCTATACTAAAGTACAATCTATCAAATACTTTTCAATAATTATTTAAATTATATTTACATAACATCTAACCTAGTACATTAACACCTAATAAAAGCTTTATATTTCTATGAAAGATTAACCTAGTTGTAAACTTTGCTAATCCATTCTTTTTTTTTTGCTACAGAAAACATTTGTCCATTAGGTGGCTCGAATTAGATTTGCAAAATCTGCAGGACGCGAAGCGCCGGGAAAGTAGGAGAGAACACGAGAAAACACTCTCCTCTTCCTCCGAATCTCTTCAGGCAAAAGTCCGATCGCCCGAGACGAACACAAATTCCATTTCAAGATCCCCGACAATAATGTAACGTCGCATAATGGAAATGAAAACTACTCGAGATGATTGGATTTGCTGCCACTGCGCGTTCCTCTCACACCACCCGAAGTGTGGTGAGCGGGAGAGGGTGGGTTTTCACCGCGCGTCAGATTTCTTGCATCTTCGGTGTGCACACGCAGCGGCGTTCGTTCTTGTTGCTGCTGCAAATTAGCATTTTCCCGTTCCCCGAGAGCAGCGCAACTTTAATGAAGGAAGAGAAAGCGCAAAAAGAGAAGAAAAATAAGTAAATAGAAACACCGAACAAAGCCAAACAAAACAAGAAGGAGCGCGCCCGACGAACGATAAAATATTGTAATTCGATGCAAAACCTACTCACCGCCACTCTGGCATTTTGCACTGAAGGGGGTAGAAGGAAGTAATTTGATAAATTACGAGCGGGATGGAATGATTTAGAGTTAATCACTTTAGGAATTTGCAGAAGAATGCCGTCATTAGATTACAAGCTTATTCATCTCGCATAATCGCAAGGATTACACAAGTGCTATTTTACGCAATCAATTATTGTGTTTACAATAGACTCGTACAATTAATTGAAACTTATACATTTGCCACATTTATAGATTTAAATTTTAGTTTTCAACAAGCTGAAGAAAACTGGAAATAAATTAAAGTCAATTTTTCGTGGCGGCCTTGGAACAACAATAATTTGATAGACATGTGTCATAGCGGAGACTGAAATTAACCGAAAGAGTAATTAAAGAACAACAAAGTCAGAGGTTCTCTACCCATTTTCCATTACGTTTTCAGGTCATACCGAAACTCTGTATTCTTGTTTCTATCTCTCGCCTCGTGCGCGAAACGATGGTTTAAAAATTATGTTTTCCAGAAGGGGTTGTTTCATGTTTTTCTCTCTCTCTCGTTTTCCCTTTCATCCGAAAGAGCTGTCCGTCATCGAAGCTCGGATGAAATTACATCGCCGCCACTGAAAGCTTCAATTTCCTCCGGCAAACTGCTGAAACTCTCAAACCCCCTTTCGGCCGCCGCCTCCGACAGGAAAAAAAAAGGATAAAATAAAAGGAAAGAAATAACTAAAAAAAAGGGGGGATCTGAAGGGAGACAATTCGGCGTGTGACCAAAGCCTCTGGACTCCCTTTATATACGTATATATATATATATATACAAGAAGAAAGCTCAAAGATAAGCCCAAACAATGGTGTGCACTTTGTACAAGAGAAAGCACTGAGCAAAAAACCAAAAGAAAAAACGATGTACGGTAGAGAGGAAAAAAGGTATCGTCCATAATGCAAGAGGGTAAATCGATTTCTATAAATCCTTGTATATCGATAACAGAAGAACGAGTTACAGCAACAAACAAGGAAAAATGAAGAAGAGTAGGGAAAATCGTTAAAGCAGCAGAAAATGTCGTCGCGTAAATTAATATTTACAGAACGTAAATCAATTTCCGAATACAAAAAAAAAAACGCCGTTTGATTCCGATCCGCGGAATAAATCACGAGACGTTTGCGTGCATGCTCGAACATCAAAGCGAACGTCTTTAACATTGTCTCTTTCCGGGAATAGCGTGCACAATCTAGGTCTTCACCATCTACCCAAAAAGGTCAACAAATATAGTCAGTCTTAAGTTAACGTTTAGTTAATTGAAAAGCGTTAGGTTTTTGCTGTATGTAGTGGATCGGGGATAAGGATTTACGCGAACTTTTGTTGTCGGTAAAAGTAAACTTCTGGAATGATTTAGTAACTCGCAGAGTTTGTGCACATGCAATGGGATGAGATGAGGTGGTGGTGGAAGAGGAAAATAGGAGCGCACGTGCCGAAAATAGTACCGAACATTAAGCAGTCGCAGAACGCGAAACGAGATCCATCAGAAGAAACAAACAACATACAAAACAAAAAAAATAGGTGGAATGGTGAACAATGCACCACAATGCGGTGTTTGTGTTATTATTCTGGAACAGGAAAGATCAAAAGGTATTTACAAGTGGAGTTCGCCTTTGCGGCGGGAATTCCGGGGCGAATATCAAATGAAATCACACTTAATTATGCATCGCGCGGCGAACTTTATTTCCGGACTCTGCGGGAGGTAGACGAGAGGAGACCCATGAAAATTTCAGGCGAGAACGAATTATGAATGGGAATCTAACCTTTATTTTTACCTTTCCTGCTTACTAAACCGTGCATCGCAAGGACTAATAACATTTCTCTTTTTGATATTCATTAGGACAATGGATACAATACCGCACTCTGGAGGATACAACCCTAGTTTGATACCTCCAATACCACTCGTAACTCCAATTTCTTGGCTACTAGAAAGAACTACAGTTCTACTTTCTGCGAATGTCACGAAAACAATAAAAAATATATATGACCTACATAGTAAGAATCCTAGCAGGATATCCAAAACATACAAATAATACTAAAGATAAGCTTTAGAAGATTAATTGAAAATATCAATAATTAGATTTAAATTTAAAGATGTTGATTTAGTAATTGATGCATATTTAATGAATATAAGTGTTTAATGATGATCGCTTTTATAGCAAATTGTAAGTTTATATTATTTTGGAATACCGATAATAAATAAAGGATCAATCCGATTCGAAACGCTGCAAAGATATATAATTAGACTTCCAAGTAGAAGTGCATACTGCGGAATGTCTAAATTGAGATCATTCATTCATGTTACTAACTTATTCAGAATTGATTTATATCACAATAAATCAAATGATCAAAGCATAAATTAATATAATTAGACAATTATGAATTTATATGACATAATTTGAAAGTGATTTCAATAGAAAATAATTTATATTTGTATCAACGTAAACGTCATATGGAATACGACTTGTTACTTGACAAGTATATACTCGTTTAATTCATGAAAGATTGGAATAGAATTCATCTCTTTCCAGGTCGATGGAGGACGACGTAGAGAAGAGATCAATGAAATCCAGGCAAACTGCATTTTTAACTCACGAATTATGACTCTTGTCCACTCGACACGTAACATTCTTTTTTTTTGTTCCATATTAATTAAATCCGAGTTTGGAGAGATTGTGAAGAGAGAGAGAGATAGACTCGTAAAGTTGATTAATTTTTAAACGCATCGGCGCGGAAAACGAATGAATCCCGTTGTCTCCATAGCTGCATAAGATGCGATATTAAAGCCGTAATTAATCGTTGGCATTTCGTGCGCTCACATGTGTTCACCAAAGCCACCCACCAAACCACCCCTAGCTTATTACTAATTTCACGAAAGCCGTTTTACTGCAGCACATGACCGCAAAACATTAAATCTGCTACGTTATGTTATTTTCTTATTGCAAAACATTGTTTCTCTGTGTGTGTATGTTCGAAATCGTAAAAAAATGCGAAATTAATCGCTTTGTGAGTTTCAAAACAATAATGGTAGAACGTAGAAATGTTAGTACTCTATAAAATTATTTACGAATTAGATTGACAGCCACAATGTTTTCATCCATATTTTAGTAGCAATCTTGGGTAAATTCTATTTGATGCGTTGCTATAATCAATATATTACTATCTTATAAAGCGCATATGCACTTTAAACTGATAATCCGTGAGTTCCCGAAACTACTCACCCTTTGCACAACCAAAACTTATAGTTAAATTAAATCCTTAATCTGCTTACAATAATGGCTATACTAATTAATAATTACTTTGCAAGTATAGAATATTGAGTATGTTTCAACAGAATAGTTTTATAACTAACCTTCTTTGTCCCTTACAATGATGGTGCTGTCATTGGGAGATGTGGTGAAGTACCCGTAGTTCTTTGGATCCCAGAAGAGAAGATCTTGTTTCTCCTGCAAAGCTTCCGCCCATTGAAGCCACGAGCTGTCTAAAGTCGCCTCGTACAAATCGAGCAAACCGCGAATCAAGAAAGCGTAATCATCCAAAAATCCTTGTATAGGCGCGTCTCTAAATCATTAAAATAAAAACCTATAGAATAATTAACTTAAACTAAACAACTTTAACATACGTCTGTGAAACGTTTCCATCGTCTCCCAAGTAGCAACACCTCAGCAAGCTGCCGTTATCCATGTACAAATTCTTCTTGATAAACTTGGCAGAAAGAACAGCACGTTCAGTGTAATCGGATTTCTTGAGAGCGAATCCGGCTTTGGCGAAAGCGCCCATCATCAAGCCGTTCCAGGATGTGACGATTTTGGTGTCGGTCTGCGGTTTCGGTCTGGAGGATCGCTCGACGTACAGAATCTCGTTGCATTTAGCTAAGAGTTTCTTGAGATCATCGACGGACATCTCGAAATGCTCTGCGGTCTCCTCGTATGTGCCGAAACAGCACAACACGTTCTTGTGGATCAATTCACCGTGGGGATCGTAACGCGCTTCAACGTTTCCACCCTCCTTCACGGCGAAATGGTAACAGTAAACCTCAAACTCCTTGTCGTCTTTAAGCAACTCTCTGATTTCGTCGTACTCCCATACGCAGAACGCGCCTTCCTGCTTCTTCTCAGCCTGTTCGGTGGGATAAGAATCAGCATCTTCGGCCCCGTAGAATCCGCCTTCCACGTGACCCAAATCGCGGTTAACGTATTTCAGGATATCATCAACGATCTCCTCGTAGAATTTATCCTTAGTGCAGACGTAAGCGTCGATGTAGGAGACGACGAGCTGCGCTTGATCGTAAAGCATCTTTTCGAAGTGAGGCACGTGCCATTTACCGTCCACGGAGTATCTGGCGAATCCGCAATTCACGTGATCGTGTATACCGCCATAAGCCATCTTCTTCAGCGTATGCAGACACATGTCCAGAGCGATTTTACCTTCTTCTGTTTTTCTGTTTTTGCCGTACAAGTGAAAAAGGAAGTTAAAGATGGTGGGTTGCGGAAATTTGGGCGCTTCGGAGAAACCTCCGCTGACTTCCTCGTAGAACTGGCACAGCTGCTTCATGCACTTCCTCCACGCCTCCTCCCCGGGAACTGAAGACGAGTTCGTGAATTTGATGTTCGCTAGACGCTGCATCTCCAAGACGCCTTTGCGCGCTGCAAATTCATTTAAAACGTAACATCAAAAGATTCATATTTGAATCGATTTAGGTTTACCTTCGATGTACAGAGTGCTGTGCTTCTCGTTCCATTGCTTCGCGATCATTTGCAGCAGAGACATGAAGCCCAATCTGCCGTATTTATCCTCCGGTGGAAAATACGTTCCTCCGTAAAGCGGTTCCAAATTCGGCGTTAGAAAGACGGACATTGGCCAACCGCCTCCGCCTGACGTCTTCTGCACGTAAGACATGTAAATCCTGTCTACATCAGGACGCTCCTCTCTGTCCACTTTGATGCTGACGAAATGCTGATTCAATATTTTCGCCACTTCCTCAGACTCGAACGATTCCCTCTCCATGACATGACACCTAAGAATTAACATTCCATAATTTACCAATCATTGTTTTCAGTTTAATTTATGGATCATACCAATGACAAGTGGAATATCCAACTGACAAGAAGATGACTTTGTTCTCTTTTTTAGCCTTATCGAAGGCCTCCTCGCTCCATGGATACCAATCAACTGGGTTGTTGGCATGCTGCAGAAGGTATGGAGATCTCTCATGCACCAACCGGTTGGTCTTGTTTCCACTGGTAGAAGCTGCAGAAGCCATCTCTCTACTGGCTACACTCCCAACAAGTAGATGCGTAGTATCCAAACACAATCTACAAATTAACAGATTAATTAATAATCTTGGCACATGGACAGCAATTTCAAAGTGGTTCTGACCTGTTTCGGTGTGCTATCAGGCTGTTGCCTTGGTGCGTCAAGTTGCGCCTCTGAATTAGTTTGCTGGAATTGTTGTTGTTGTTGTGTGTACTAATACAAGTCAGAGCCAGTATATGTCGCCTGTTGAGGATGTGGAACTGGTTTAGCAGTTGAGATTTGATGACGACACTCGCGGAAAACATCTCATCGGTAAACCGCCAACGGCATAATCCCGTTTCCCACCCCGAAACCAAAAACCTCTCCACACAGCTGAACTATTTCCTCCTGCGACGTGAAAGTTGTGTCATTTTCGCCGGCCTTGCTTGTCTCTCCTGCGAGCAACGTCAATCCTGCATTCAAATATTTCCAACTAGATGGAGCTTACATTCAAATTTAATTACTTCTGATAATGTGTTAATCTTGCATTATGAAAATTGTAACTTGATTATCAACTACAATATAATCGTATACTACTATTAATTAAGATTTATATAAAATTTGAATAGTTTAACTTAAATTGAAGGTAATGTGTGTATTTATATTAGAATACTTAAAATAGTTTGGAAAGGAAGATATATATTTGGGTGAAATATAAGTGTTTGTATTTAAAGTATTTGTTTTATTCAATTTTTAATGTGTAATAACTTTCACTAAATCCATTTGGAATCCTCGCACTTAGTAAACACTGAAAAAAAGAACAAAACTGTAAATATTTTGCAAAATTATAGAGTGTTAAAACATAGAATCCTCCCAGAAAAGGCGGGGCTTAAACATAAGCCACGCCTTTTTCTCTTGAGAGTTTCTGTTGCCTTACAAATACATCTGAACGCAATAAAGTGCGACCAGAACGAGATTGCAGATATCATCGCTCTACGAGTCATCGTAGCACTAGTAATAGTATTAAGAAACTAATCCAGCGACTCTAAGGATGCTCGAAATCAATAGAAAAAAACGTACTGAAAAGGAACGAATCTCACCTTAAAAACACTGCACATCCTAACGACTTTCTTCCTGTGAATAATAAATAAATTGTTGCCTTACAAAACATCTAAGTATACTTATAAATACAGTATATTTAGGCAGCATTATTGCAGATATCATTACTCTTCGAGTCATCATAGCACTAGATCAGATTTTAGACACCGATTCAGCGACTCTAACGATGCTCGTGCACTTAAAACTAGTATAAACAATCTTACTTACTAACTTTACTGAAAAGATGTTTTTAAAGAAGGGTAGTTTGAAAGAGAAATCGCGATTCTTTTTAGAAAAGTCAAGTTTATTTTACACCGTTGTTAAATGATGTAAAGAATTATCATACATTTAATCTTCCTCTTCTTCAGCAGCAGCAGCTCCACCACCGCCAGCGGCCTTGCGGAGGTTCCTCCTCTTAACACGGCCAGGACGGCCACCACCGAAGGGCGACTTAAGGGAGAAGTCGATGTGTTTCTGTGAGTCCAAACGGACGATGAACGATGGGATGTTCACAACTTGTTTGCGGACGCTGCAAAATTATAATAAAACATGAAATACATTCTCACAAAACAATTAGATGTTGAAATTATTAAATTTGTTTGAAATAAAATGATTGTTTCCATGTCATGAATCAGGTTTGCCACTAGTTGCAGGCAGCCTGGGATTAAACAAGGAGTTTGCTATCACCTTGCAAGATTTAAGCTTCCAATGTTGAACGCCATTAGAGCTCATGCCCAGTATGCAAGGTGTGTTCAATATACTAATTCATAACAGAAAGAAGCGTTACCTGGCCACAAGGCATTCGTTTTTTTTATATACGTGTATATAATTCCAAGACATTGAAAGCGTTCCTTTCCCAGAGACGCCCAAGTGGCCTTTTCGAATTAACGTGTTTTGCGAGCTCGATTCATTTCCAAAGACATTGCAGATGCCTCATCATCGGAGAGCATCCAAGTGGCCTATCTGAATTGACTCTGTACAAGACGTTGGAAGGTTGTTTTGACAACCTTCCAAGTGGCCTTTCGTGAATGCTTGACCTTGCAGTGCAGGACCTAATCTTTTTGTTATCAAGACTTTCGTTTTTTGAAGTCTTCAAAAGAGTTTGTATCTGATAGGACAAGAAAAGACAATTACCGGATGTGCCTTTGACGGATCAAGACGCGGGCGTGATGGATGGACTTGGCTAATCCCAATTTGAAGACCTGGGTCTGGAGACGACGTTCCAAGAAATCTTCAATTTTCAAACCCAAAACGTAATCGAGCTTCATCCTGCTCTCATCCAATACACCGATGCGGACCAAACGACGCAAAAGCGCATTACCTATTGAAAAAAAACAAATTGTACTTTAGTAAATTGCAAATGGAATGATCACAAATGGTTATAATGTATATAACAACTGTATCCATGTCATGAATCAGGTTAGCCACTATTTTCAGGCAGCCTGGGATTAAACAAGGAATTTACTATCACCTTGCAAGATTTAAGCTTCCAATGTTTAATACCATTAGAGCTCATGCCCAGTATGCAAGGTGGAGGTTATAGTAACGAATTTTCAAGATGTTTACCTTCGAACAACCTCTTGGGTTCCTTCTCTTCGAGGGTGAGCAATTCACGGGCGGCTTTACGGATCTTAGCCAAAGTGTACTTTACGCGCCAAACTTCACGCTTGTTACGGAGACCATATTCACCGATGATCTTCAATTCCTGGTCCAAACGGGCCTTCTCGTATGGACGACGAGGAGTGACGTAAGTCTTCGAACATACTGTCGGTATGCGACCGTTCACCATTTTGGCGAGATATTATCTGCAATTACAAAAACACAATTAGTAAAAAAGAAATTAATAATAGTTAAATTCACTCAATATTACAATAGTAACCTTTGAATTTAAAAAAAAATGGAGTCATCAAAAAGACGCCTCGTTGTGAAAACACAATCAGTTAATATTTTGAGCATCTTTAACTTTTCTTGAACTACTTCAACTTCTCTTAAGGAAAAGGCAAATTTGAAACAAATCTCTAGCAATATTTTGATTATAAAACGTAAATATTGAGCAAAAAACTATAAGATTTGGTAAAGTTAGGTTAATACTTACATGAACCTCGCGTGTCAAAAGTGGTAAGAGAAGGGAGATGGCGACAATTTTCTATTTATACCCGAAGACAGAGAAGGAAGATGTAACCGCGCATGCGCTCTGTCACGTAATTCCAATTGCTTTTTAAATTACATTTTAATATAAATTAAACTACAATACTTAAATAAATATCATTATATAACGTTATAAACAAAATCCTATTTACTTGCTAATACTTTAATAAACATATAAGCTGTGAATAAATCTGTTTGGATTAAGTGTGTGAGTTATGTAACCCACTCTTCTTACTCTCACATCATTACAATTCACAGATCAACGTTCCTTAGTTTTTATCATACAGGAAACTATTAAAACTTATGTAATTATCGAGTTAAGAATACTTAAAGTATTACAGGAACATTAAATTATTTAACTTATAAAAATATAGTTTGTTATGCAACCAAGATATCACTAATGACATTGATTAACCAATTTATTTACATATATTCAGTGTTAATTAAATCAATGAGCCTGCATTAGTCCTTGTTACAATTACGGTCATATTTCTGTACTCCAAATTGTTTCAAGGATAATAAACCTGGAAATTGAGAGGAAACTATTTACCATCTCGTGGATATAAAAGAAAGTTCATAGCTTATTAACTAATAGATATTAAATTTAGGTTTAGGTCTCATTAATGGGATTAAAGCATATTTCTAAATTCGCTGCGTTTAAAAAATATTTATTTTCATAATTTAATCAAATAAATTACAGATTTTTTTTTACAATTTTACAAAGAATAATAATAAAAAAAGAATACATAAGGTTCTCACAGGTCGAAGATGCACCAGATATACATATATATATAGGGAGAAAGAGAGAGTGCTTAAGTAAGTACAGTCAGTAAGTAAAAAAAAACATGTTTGTCGTCCATCTCTCGTCTTTCGAATGTCTCTGATCGCGGAAGGAGGGATGTCTGGGGGGGGGCATTTATTAAATAACGTAGTTTAAAAAAAATAAAAATTAACATCTATTGGGGAGAGTCGGGAAAGCGAAGGGTTTGAGAATTTCCTAAATATACATTAAAAAAAAATAACGAAACGTCTCTCACTCGTATCCCAGGTTGTGTTTGTGGTAGAAGAGCAAGTAGCTGAAAGTAGAATTTATTGTTAATCTATTTAGTTTGTGATTGATTTCGGTGATGATTTTTACCCTTCGGAATCCAATACTTCTTTGAGATTTGCTCTGGTGATGACGTGGTCATCGCATTTGTACCAGTAATCGCGTTGCTGCCGAACGTACGCGGTGTAATGACCGGCGTTGATGGAACTGCCCAAATGGTTGATGACGGCGAAGAGGGAGTAACGATTATCCGGAGGAATCGGGTACGAAGAGCTGGTCTTGTTGCGACTCATGAAGGGCGTCATGTCGAGCATCTCAGGAAACGAAATCGAAGTGAGGATTTTCTTCTCTTTCTGTATGAAAAAGAAAACGTTTAAACTGGACTTTGTAGGTAAATAAATCTTACTTCTTTGGAATGTTGAAAGCGTTTTAGGTGAAAACTGACGACGATCGGAAGGGTTTTCAGCGTGAGCTGCTTCGTGGACTCTTGGTAGGACTGGCAGCTCGAGCATTTGATGGAACCCAAATGTTCCGGTCGCGTGTACCTCTCCAAGCAGTCGATCAACGATGAGGGCGGTCGTCCGCCCAGACTCACCGGACCCAAATCCAACGAGAAATCCCAGGTCGGATCGATCGTCGTCGAAACGGCGCTGCGTGCCATCGGTAAATCATACGGCCACTCTCTCTCTCACACACACACACTTCTCTCATTTTGAGAATACTCACTTGCACTTCTGGCAGACCAGATCGCTCTGCAAACCTCCTGCGAAGATCTGGTCGATGATGCTCGCGCATTTCGTGATCTTCTCGGTGGTGGAGATGGTGGAATGTTGTGGAGACAGTTCTTCGCAGTGCTTGTGCAGCACGCCCAGCGTTTCGATGAAGAACTCGTGCGCGTCCTGCTGCTCGTATCCTGCCAACTGTTGAGCATGAGTCCAGATCAGATGGAGGAGTTTGTTCAGGGCCAAAGGAACACGTTGTCCTCTGTAAAATTCCTGCAATAACAACAACAATCAGCACATTTATTTCCATTGGAAACATCTTCAATAGAGACACAAACAATCTCCAGTGAGATTACTTATTTAACAGAACTATTTCTGTATATGTTGTGATTATTGTAGTTATAGCAAACCTGAAACAATCTGGAGAGTTCGCAAACTAAGCACGTGCCAGGAAGTCCATTGCATTTGTGTCTTTCGCTCAAGAAGTAGTCTCTCAGAAGTGGAGTATGCATCAACGCCTGAACTATGCAATTCATGAAGCACGTCGATCCCAAATTCAGGAGACCCCTCAACCCGATCGTCGAGTCAGGCGTGATGCAGATTCGCTTCGGATTGCAGTTCAAGAAATCGCCTCTATCCTCCTCCAAAGGTTCCCACGAAGTCCAATTCAACAATCTACAAGAAATCAGTGATAATTACTCAAGATTTTTTAACATCATTGGTTACTGCGGTTACTACCTTTTGTTACATTTAGCTGCGCTCATTTTGTTCGTCATGGCAATCTCGTCCAGTTTGGAGTCGTAGATGTAATCGTCGCACTTGGTGCAGTGCACTTGTCCGTAGGTGAGATCCATGCTGAAGCAGTGCTTCATGTCTGCCGTGTGCTCTCTGATGTGTTTGTGGCAGCCGAAGAAGACGCAGTGGAGGCACGCGTGCAGGTGAGGCCCGAGTCTTTGGCACACATGGCAAAAAGCGTTCTTAAGCTGTAACAAAACAAAAACAAACATTGAGAACAACAAATAAATCATACAATCTTAGCTTTAATCCTTTAATCTAAATTAAGATATTTACAGTTTGTAATTAAAAGTTTCAAACAATAATTTGCAAAGTTTGGATCAAAGTATGTATTTAAAAAATGTAATTGTGTTTGTTTTTATCTCATTCTTACTCAATTCTAACTAGATTTAGTTGATGTTAGTCTTAGGTAATTAGCAATTAGGGGTTTAATAGAACTAAGCGGTAGTAGTTCAAATAGAAACGGTTTACTCGTTGCCATGACTACGAGTATTGCTTATGTCAGATGGAGGTTCTTTCGCTCATTGATTTGTTTATGTTGCAATCGCTACCGGTCCAGGATCGGCCGTTACGTAACCAAGGATTATTATTGCGGGGGGAGAGGGAATCAAATCGAAGGATTCGATTGTTTTCGTTGTGTTGTTTGTTGTTGTTGTTGTTATTATTTAATTTAGCTGAGAACGGAACCTTGGTCTGTTTGGACTTCTCGTCCGTGCAGACGACGAAGATGGCGTGCACCACTCTGAAGGTGTTGATGTCGTCGCGCTTGTAGTCCTCGATGTGCTGGCAGCAGTCCTCGTCGACGATGTCCATGGTGGCTGGTGGGGGCCGCGTCCTCCGGTGCCCTTGCCGACCGCCGTTTAATTCAATCCCCCCTTTTTTTTTCTGTTGAGAGGAGAGCTCAACCACCGTGCACCGATAACACCCACATGATCAACAAATGAACGGCGACGGAGCGCACGCGTGACACACGTCACCTGTCAACTGTCACGAGCGCGCGCGACGAAGAGATTTTTTTGAATATCACTTGCAATGTTAATCACAATTAATTTATTTCTCTTCAATTAACAAAACAAGTATTTAAACATTCGTACTAATTAATGAAGATCTAATAGATTATTAATACAAGAAAAATTGACAATAAAGAAAAACAAATCATGAAACTTTTAATTCCCATTAATAGATGTCGCTGTTAAGCGCACATTTTCACTTTTTTTTTAATATTTGATAACTAATTACAGGAAAACCGTAATAACCACATATACAGAAGTAGATTCATTAGAAAGCCTACTTAATTATCTTTAATTAAAGTATTAATTCATTTTTGTGTGAAAAATAATAAAACTTGAGAATGTAGTTTTCAGATTCAATAATTAATTATAGGCAAACCGTAATAGGTACACGTTTCACAGTAGGTTCATTGGAAAGCCAATTAATTTTACTTTAATTAGAGTGTTAATGGATATTTGATGTTGATGTTGAGATGTTGAGAAAAATAATAAAATGTGAAGACTTAACATTTTCATTTTTGATAATTAATTATAACCACATATACAGAAGTAGATTCATTAGAAAGCTTACTTATTTATCTTTAATTAAAGTATTAATTCATTATTGTG